GGGGCGGCAGCCGCCGCTCTCCTGCGAGGGTGCTGGAAAAGGAGGGAAAAAAATGTTCTGAAAGGGTAAAAGGGGTGTACTGAGTATGTTATTGAACGTTATCTACACGTCATGTAAGTTTGCGGTCATTTTCCTCACCGTGGTACCAACGCTGTATTAAATAACCGGCAAACTGTGTGCAGCCTGGCTTTTCTCCTCAGAACAAACGTACTCAGGATCTAGATAGTTTCCTTTGGTGAAAATTACTACTGCCTTATTTATTTTTAGTCACTGACTTTGCCAGTCTTTTTGTCAGGAAGTCACTGGGAAAGGGATGGACTTTGCCCTTCAACAGGGTTTGAACTCACTGTAATACCGCAAGAGGAACCGAGGGCCAACACTGGCACCCAGGAGGGCAGCTGGGGTGCTCCGAAAGTTCAGGCAACGTGAAAAAGAAGAAACTCAATTGCATGGATCCAGTCGAGTCAGGACATAAAAAGATGAGCAGCCAGTCCTTGGGCTGGGCCTGATTTTACTGTCTGGAGAGCAAGGAACAGGTAATTACGGATTTCTACAGGTAACGGCTCAGGAGGCAGGTGTTATATTTGGAGCTGATGAAATAGCTCCAGAATCTCTGCTTCCAGAGTAGTTTCCAGGTAGAAGATACAGTGCTAATGAAGCCTAAGGGTCATGAGAGCATTCACGTCAATGGAAGACACACTTTTTGGTGCCTGTTGCCACTTAATCTACTAGTCAAAGCAGCAGTATAGTAGAATCTCCATGTTCATTATCATCTTGCCAGTCCCCAAGCAGAATCGTTTGATACAAAGCTGTGATATGGAGCCAATTACAGGAAATGTCTTCCTTCGCAATTCAGCCTTTTCTGGGCTTGCAGCAGCCGTGATACATCTATCGCATTATTTCTGTAAAGGGCCGTACTCGCCAGCCCCACCAGAAATACAAGAATCACTTACTCCTTTCCTCCCACCCCCATTCACAACCTAGCACATATAGTACTATATTTTAGTCTATATAGTACTATATAGCTTAGTAATATATAGTACTATATAGTACTATATATTAAGCACACTTACACTAGTGTGTCAGAAAGAAGTCTGTAATTAAATCTTTCCTCTGGATGTGTTTGTGTTGTTTCTCAATAACAGTAAGGTAAACAATATGCTTCATTTCCTTAGTTATCGGAAAACATAAAAGCCGAACTGATACACTGTTTAATTTTTTCTGTTTATTTTTAAGAGGCCTATGACTACATGTATTCCAAATGCCCAAGGTAAGATTTAAGTAAACACCGTCTCCATGGTGAGTTTAATGACCTAGCATCTCTGTGAGATTGCACACGCATATTACAAAAGTCTGAATAAATACAGACAATATTAACACAGCATACAAAATAATACAAATAAACCTTGTATTTGGCTAATCACATATACAATCGACTGCAGACATAGCTAGGCTCCGATATCTAATTTGAGCCATCTGCGCTTTTCCATGTGCTGAAGCAAGCTAAGGTTTGGTTTCACAAATCATTTTTCCTAAGGAGACTGCCTGCATGAGTAAAGATTTACAAGCTCACTTAGGATCAGACAGCTCAAGCCTTACAGGGCTTAGAAAAACACACATACCTTGCACTGTTTTCATTTATTTTTATGTTGTGGTTGTTTTTTTTTTATTATTATACTTTGGGAAAGCATGTTTATGTCAAGACCGAACTTTTAACACTAAGCAGTTATGAACTTATCAAAAGACCCTGGAACAATATTCTTAAAATCCAGTAGCTCAGGTACATTGAGCAACATTACAACGTTTCCTGCAAAATTCAGCCGAAAAATTGGCTCCGTGGTCTCAAAAATTTTGAGTAACAGACAACAAGGAACATTCCAACTGTAAGTACCATTTTCCACTTGAAAGGTTTTTAAACATTTGTTTGCTTGATTTTCTGTTCTCTTGCTGTAGGTTGGGAAGGATTTGGTTCTTTAAGAGCTGAAGAGCAAGAGCTATTCCTTCTATTCCTCGTGGGAGAGTCAGGAGAGGAAGATACAGCACATGCAGTATTTTCTCCTGCAGCAAGGCAGCGAGAAGCACTCTAGATGCATTTCTGTACTCTGTTACAAAGGCTACGGCAGAGTAGTAAACCATGCCCTGCACTTACGGTGCTTTAGGTATTCTTCCCAGTTGTGGGTTTTTTTTCAGAAGGACACGGAGGACCTACAGGGTACACAGACTCAGGACTGGTTAAGGAGACCTATCTACTCCACAGAAGTAACTTTTGCTGGTAGAAGTCCCTCTGCTCAGCCCCCTGACACCACACTGCACATAGCTTGTGTCAGGACTGCTCCCGGCATACGCTCCTCGCCTGTGGGAGCATCTGCACGGTGGTGTTTTGATTTTTCATTAGCGTTGCCTCAGTCCAACCGATTAGTTGACAGACCACTGCATGGTTAGGGTGCCTTGTAAAGCTGTAAAGACCGCTGAGAGTCTGTTTTCACCAGCGTCTAACTGCAATCTTACTTTAGGAAAGGGAATATATCAAACTGGTGGTTTGATAGCAACAATGGCAACACCAGCACGCAGTCATCTGCAGACAACAGCCTGCCAAGAGGCGGTTTTACTCCCGCAAATCCCTCTCAGGCTGCGCCTCCCCTGTTTCACGTAGAGTGGCAGTGGCAGTGACAGGGAGGGACAAGCAAGCTAGAGGCAGTCTGTTACCTTGAGTCAGCCCCTGACCTTTCCCTGGCCTGTGAATCCTCAATAGCTCTGTGGAGAAACAGCACTATCTGGTGGAGGGAGTGTGCAAAGTCTTTCCAGGACTCGCAACGGGCTTTAGTCAGCTATTCGAGACGCAATCGCAGCTGCTTTTGAGGTGTGCTTGCCCAAGGATGATAGATAGTTTCACTGCATTTTCAAGAGGATTTTTTTTTTTTTTTTTAAGCAGTCCAAGTGGCAGGGGAAGATATCTGGCACAGTCTTTACAAAACTAACACATATCATTTTCTAGTGCTTTCCTGAAGAACTGCTTTGAGAAATGTCAGCATATTTTCAGGATTTTCCAAGTACAGCAACATGAAAGAATGAGAGGAGATTTTGTGTTGTTTTATTTTTAAAAGGAGTGTCATTTCTTAAAGTTATACTAAACAGATACACAAGGAATAAAATCAGGTGTGCGTGCAAGGAGAGATTTTCAG